TTTTTTTCTCTCGAAAATTTCGTAATTTAAAGCGGTATTCTGAGTTGTGGATGATGCCCGTCGTCGAAAAACGCTTTGCTTTCTGCCCTCTGGCAAAAGACTCGACTGTCCACCTGGCGTGGAGTGGATACTGACGTCAATCCTTGAGGGCGCGAAATGCAAGGTACATATACCTGTTCGATGAATCCACTTCGCATAAAAAACCGCTCTCAATTAAGCCACGATTTTACGGGGATTTCGGGCAGTCAAAAGGCTACAACCTGTGTGCAACGAGTGAATCTGCCGACCGTGAACGAAAGCGCGAAGGGTACTTCATTGACCAGTAACCTTTAATAAGATAGTGCATTAAATCGAGTAAATGTCGGTATAGAACCCAGAAAATAAGGACGTCAAGTTTTCATTTTTCTCTTCACACTCTCAGTACGGACCCCATAATTTCATCCGACTGCAATCAGGTATGTTGGCTTCACACTTCGATCATCTACTAAAACGGTGAGCCATTACCGTATTTTCGGACCGCTGCACATAACGATATTTAGAGTCGTTTCGGAAATGCCATTAAAGCACCCATCACTATAGGCACATTATCCTTCAGCGTTAGGCTCAGGCGCATATAAAGCGTACAATTTAGGGTTAGCCGCAGAAATAGGTTAACGGTAAGATACCTGTTAAGATTAAAGCTACAATTTGGTTTTAAATTAGGGTGAGGGTTAATAAACTTAGCGAGTGGGCTGTTCCTCCTCCCTTTTCAATTAAACGGCTATACAAGTCATCCTCCTCCAGTACTGCATAAGCTGCCTTTGCCACGGCAGGCCAAGGTTTCAACACTATAAAATGACATTCAACAGCAAAAGATACCTGCAACTGAGAGCAATTTAATTTTTCGAGTCTTTTCCAAGGCTTTCCTGGGGTTATCTTTCAAACACGCTGGTCTCAGATCGGGAAGCGAGCAGTGTAAAGTAATGATCACCTTATCGGTTGCTTGGGCATCAGCGGAAGATTGCTCCACAAGAGCACTGTGGGTGACTTCTGTGACAGGTTTGGACAAAGGGGACACAACGTGATCCTTCGTGGACACTCCACCTCCCTCATCAGCAAGACCCTGCGCTGTTGACAATGTAGGAGTTGTCTGACCTGCTGAGACTGTTTTACTCTGTTACGTGCGTAAAAGAGAAACACAATATAAGCAAAGACAGTCAGTACGCAGCGACCTGCTTGACCTACTTCTCCAAGCAACTTCGAATCACTTGACACAAATGTTCACAATATATGGAAACGATTGCAACTTCCACAGGACTGCAAGCTATTACTCAACTTACATTATAAGCAACAATTCTTCATCTGCTTCCACTAAGGTGACGTTGAGCAATTAGTACTATTGCGGGCTGACCCTCGTTAATAGTCTGGCCTCCAATGAGCCATGCCCTTTGCGTGACAGTTCCAAACCTAATGCATATTCCCAAAGTGTTCTGGGCCTGCCGTTGGTTACTGATCGGATGACCCATAGTACAACATTCAAGACGTTTGTGCTCACCTTATCTGCTACTTGGGCATCAGCGGATAAGTCATCAGATGTAGCACTCTGGGTGACTTCTGCGACAGGCTTAGGCACAGCGGCCTCATCGTGGTCTTCCCCGGACTCTGCTATTCTCGACAGCGGTATCCCCTGACCTTCTTGGAGCACCCTGTTCTGTTACGTGCGTAAAAGACAAACGTGATGTAAGCAATGATAGTCAGTACCTAAGGACAGGTTTGACCTACTTCTGTAAATAAGGTTAAAACGATGGACACAGATGCTCACAATACATGTAAATGTGTGCAGTTTTCACAGGTGTGTCTTTTATAACCAAAATTATACTACATCGAATACTTATTTGTCTACATTCCTTTAAATAACGTTTACTGATGGGAAATGTTGGCCTGCTGAGCGGCGTACAAAGGGTCACGAATTTTGCAATGCAGTTCAAAATTTACTGCGTCTTCCTCATACTTGCTGCACGTAACGTAGAGTAATAAGCAGATATCGAATAGTACAACATAGAAGAGGGTTCAGGCTC